CAGAGCTGCGTTCATCGCAGACTCCGCCGCTGTATCCCGTTCCGCCGTGTTCAGCTTTTGATTTCGAGAGGCGCTCCCCGGAGTGCCAGCAGAACGATGAAATTTTGGTAGCTTTGGAGATACGATGGGATTCAACACGGCACTGATACCATCCTGCAGTTCGATCGGGGCCTAACGCGGGGCCCACGCATGACGGGAAGTATTACAGATGTGATCGCGATGCTCGTATACTTTGTTTTGTCCTTCTTTCAGGTCACAACCGGATGTCTTTGGCATGATACACTCCCAGACTGCGGCCTTGGAGGTCCTCCAGCAAATATGCATTGCTACCGACGGATTTGACCAGCCTGGCTTTAAGGAAATTGCAAGCAAACTTGGCGTTAAAAGATTAGCTGAAATCACTCAGCACGAAGTTGCGGCAGAAGACTCCTTGGCCTGGCTTGGCGAGCAGCGTACGGGCTCGCTTATCGTAGCGCTGCCGGTTCGTCTGGTAATGCACCCTCCAGTTGCTTCTGCACCTTGGCGTGGATAACCCGAAGCTTGTCCTTGGTCTGCATTCCGGCCATTTCATGGTCGACCAGAGACCTGAGTCGTCTAGCTAGTTTGTAGCTGGAACCGTTGAGGAACATGTGGTGGCCGAATACGGTGAAGAGGCGCTTCCCCTGTGCCTGAGTGGACAGTGTTTCGGATGGCCACCTCAATCTCCGGCAAATGTGCATCCCATTCCCGGTGATCTTCGTCAAGAAGCTGCGAATTGCGGCCAAGACGTTCCGGTTTACCCTTTCCGCGGCATTGCTTCTGTGGTGAGTATACGGGAGTCCTCATGTGCTGTATACCGAAGCCATCGATCATCTCCTCAAACGCCTTGGATACGAACTGTTTGCCGTTGTCAGAATGTATTCGTCTCAGGCACCCCCGAACTTGTAAAATACCTCGTTTACCAGGAAATTTACAACGTTCGAAGCCGTCGCCTCCTTCATCGCCTTTAAGAAGGTGTACTTGGAGAAGTGGTCCACCACGATGAATATCCAGGCGTGTCGGATATTGCCCAGGAAATCGATGTACAGTTTCTGGAATGGCCTCCCCGTCTCTACCCTTCTTCCGATTCCGACCTGCATCCGGAAGTTTGGCGCTTTGGATTCCTTGCACACCTCGCGACCCCGGACGTATTCCCGTACCTGGATAGTCATCCCTGGCCAATAGAACTGGGGACGCAGATTCCGTTGGATCTATCCGGACTTCCTCGATGATCGGGATAGAGTGTCAGCGACTACGTTCTCGCTGCCTTTGCGATGTTCAATGTTGAAATCGTAGCCCTGCAGCTGGAGAGACCACCTTGCGAGTCGTCTGGACAGATCCTTCATTGTCATCAACCACTTAAGGCTGGCGTGATCAGTAATGCATGTGAAGGGCATCCCTTCCACATACGGTCTGAACTTCCAAATGGCTAGGATGGCCGCCAGACACTCCTTTTCCGTAACCGAGTAATTCACCTGGTGTTTGTTCATCTTGGCCGAGAAGAACGCGATGGGCTGCTCGTCTCCGTTCTGGTTCCGCTGAAACAATACCGCGCCGACGCCAACGTGGGATGCGTCGCACTGGATGTAGAAATGCTTCTTGAAATCCGCATGAACCAGGACCGGCGCGCTCGTCAAGGCCAACTTCAGGTCATCCACTGCCTGGGTGGCGCTGGGACTTAAGGAAAACTTTGTGTTTCCAGCCTTCTTCAAGGACTCGGAGAGTGCTGCGGCTAGCGTAGCGAAGTTCTTGACGAACCGTCGATACCATCCCGCTGTGCCGAGGAAGGCACGGGTAAGGCATCTTCTGGATTGCCCGAAACACGTCCAGGATCCATCCGCCAGCAGTCCACCTCCGACTATAAACCCTAGCTAAGTCAAAGATTTGAAACAAAACTTCGACTTCTTTAACCCTATGGTCAATCCGGCTGATTTCAGACTGTGGGCTACTCGACGCAAGTATTTCAAGTGCGTCTGAAAATCTGGAGCGTTAGATCTGAGCTCCGCTGGTATCACCCGATCCATGAGCCGCACCAAGCGTTGTGCCGCGTTGCACAGCCCGAATGGCCGTGAACGCAGTATACTCCTTGCTTCTCTCATCCAGTTCAATCTGCCAAACGCAAGCTTCAGGTCTACGCTGGAGATGTAGTGCGTCTGATCTATCCTGGAGAGGATTCCTTCTATACTGGGCAGAGGGTACGCATCCTTAATAGTCGAGGCGTTCAACTTCGGGCATCCACGCAGAACCGGTCTTTCCCTGGCTTCGACACCTCTGTTGTGCGATTGCTCCACGGGCTTTTGCTCTCCTCGATAACACCCAGCTCCAACATCTTGTCGATTTCGTCTTCGACCACCTTCTGCTTCACCGGAGACATCGAATACGGACGATCCTTAAAGACACGAGCTCCTTCCGTCAGCTCAATAGAATGCCTCTTCATGCTGGTGACTCCGAGGCCGTCCCTTTAAAAGGTAAGGAACTCCTCCTTGACCTTGCCTAACGCCAGCTTTTCCTCCGCAGAAAGGGTCCAGGATTCGGGTTCCTCCCTTACCTCGTCTTCATCTTCCTGGTCGGCATAGTGCTCCATCTGGCTGGCATGGATTACCTGCGCTGCCTTGACGCCTCTCGTTGCCGGCTTCCCACGTCGGCTGGAGCTAGTCCGAAGGTCGCCAGAAGTCGACCCCGAAGTACGCAGTTTGGTCCAGGTATGGACACAGGTAGAACGTGACTGGCTTTGTACCTCCCAGGCAGCTCCAAGCGTCCGATGATGGATCGATCCTCACCAGAAGCTGTCCGGACTACCGAAAAATACGGTTGGACGGTATCTTCTAGCGTTTCCACGAGCTCTCGACAGCCTTTGGCGAAGGGTCTAGGATCGGCGGAATCTATGTGTTTAACGGCCGCCACCACCTCTCGTCGTCTAGATCTCCTCATCCTGAAGCACTCCCTTGCCTTCTGGACTCTCCGTGAGACCAGACGCATGCCGCTCAGCTGATGCTCCGCAAAGATCCGGTTCCGTGCCTCCATATAACGGCGAAGCCTCTCATCCTCCGCCAGGTATCTTAACAAATACTTTTGGACTATCAGATGGACTATGTACATTCTTTTCTTCTTCTTTCTTCGGAACTACTTCGCGGGATTCCAACCTGGGCGAGTCCCTCCGCTTTTGGACTACCCAGCCGACCGTTTCCGCGCAATCGGGACATTTCGGAGAAATCACGCCCAGCTTGCCGCATCGTTGGCCATCGTCCTCGCCGCCGAAGGAGAGGTTCCAGCGGTCCACTCGGATCTAGCGGTTTCCGTTGCCGGCTCCCGCGTTGGCGTACAACCGCGGCTCGTCATGAAAATCCGCCGCCCTTCGGTCCTCGATGCGCCACGGCCGTGCGTGGCGATCACTCCTTCCTGCCGGATGATACTCCGGTTCCTGGCTCAGGCTGCTGTTGATCCCTGGAGAGTCGTTCACCTGCGGTCGAGGTCGCTGCCTGGGTTTCAATTCCGGCGGCCTTCGGTAGCCTCCTCCTGTCTCCTGCCGCTGCTGAACTTCCGCTGGACCATTTGCGCCGCCTTCCGGGCACGACGGAGTGGGCACCATTGACACTTGGCGAATCGCGCCCTCCTGGAGCGGCTGCGGTTTGCTTTCGGCTGTCCTAAGAACATCGTTCTTCAATTTCATCATGTCCATGAATCCGTTCTTGATTTTCTCCCGCAAGGCCTGGCTCACTCCCAACTCTTGCGATGCCCGATATGTATGGGCCGCTTGTGCCAGAGCTGCGTTCATCGCAGACTCCGCCGCTGTATCCGTGTTCCGTGTTCAGCTTTTGTAGTCCCGTCTGCTCCGGAACCAGAAGTCGATCCTGCGCCTCGACAATTGCCTTGAAATCCAGGACCCTGGGCGACCGATGGTGCTCCAGATCCGCCGGTTGATCCCTAATCCGATCCACCGCACTACCGGCTACCGGCGTTCTGGGTAAACCCCCAGACAGCGATATCCGCGGCAACCCAGCAGCACCCTCTACATCCGTGGACCAGACATCGTCCTTGTCGTCGCCAGGGGGACCCATCGACCTGAGCTGGTGGCCGTGCCTATCGCTGACGTCCTTACCCTCGGACATACTTCCCAAGAATTTTTAAATAAATACTTAATGACTACTAATACTATAATAAATATGATAAATAAATAAATAAATAAGACAACAAATAAATACAAAAATAAATAATATAATAAATATCAAAATAAATACGAAAATAACTAATAGCAAAAATCAATAACAATGAACAAATCTTCCTCCCTTCCTATTTTCTTTTCTTTTCCTTACAGCTGGACCTGGGCAGATGGAAGTGACCGTCGCCGGTGGGCTTCCGACCTAACTCGTCTTGCGCTTTCTCCAAAACTCCTATTTTCCGTCACCGCCTAGCCGTTCGTCAACTGGACTAGCTATCACCTGTGGTGATAGCCGCCAGTTAAGGACATCGGCTCGGTTTGGCTCCTGTTGGCTTTTCTTTCCCGCCCTCTTTTTCTATTTACATCGAGCCAACCGTGCAACGGGTCACGATTACGCAATTAAGTTTACAACCGACATAAAATTAGAAATCCAGGACCCAACATCCTAACAAAAAAACATTTCAAATAAATAAATCACAAAATACAAGCTTACTACTCTATCACAGAAATTATCACAGATTTTCTTCAGTGCATCCCGTGATGCAAATCTTGGTTTGCTCCAAGATGCCATCACCGGTTCACTGGTAAACCTGTGGCCAGGAGCAAATCGTCGGCAATGTCGCCGACCAGCCTCCCGTTCTACTTCCAACTTCCCTACACAGCTGACTTCCCCGTCACCACTCCCTAGCAATTGCAATCTATGTTGCAAGCCATTGGTCGTGATGGCGGCGGCGTCAGGGTCATAAATGGGCGAGACGTCGTCGCCTCGACAATTTATTTTGTTTAAATTGGGCGCCAATATGTTACGAACTGCTTTTTTTGGTGGCAGTGCCGCTAGCTCAGTCTTTTCTCAAGGCAGAGTACCCCTAATGCCACAGCTCGCAACATAAATATCGATAACTTCACGGTCTCACATTACTAATCGGTTATCACTAATGACAAAAAAAACGTAATCAAAGCAAAAATCTACAAATATTGACGGGAAAATGGATTACATTTGGTGGCTATCGGTGACCTAGCCAAGCGCTCCCACCCAACCATGGGTGCCCTCGAGGCGCTGCAGGGCACCACCCATTCTCTGTCGGCAGGAGCCCCCTCCTCGCGACTACGACGGTTCCATCTCCCCCACTGGGAAAGCTTACTCACACATTGTGGGTATTACAAAGGTTTAATAAATATCGTAAGTACAATTGTTTGCTCCTCTTAACAGATCTATCCTTCCTCAGCCTTTAAGACCTAAACCTGGCCGCCGTCTCGGATATTTACGCGGTCAAAGCAGAGGATTTGTTTTGGCTGGAAAAGCGTACAGGCGCCGCGGAAACTATGCTCTACCAGTCATGTATTGGTAGAGCTCGCATGGAAACGCGGCCCTCAAAGGAACATGCGCGATGCGCGTGTGTATGGTCACCTAATTCTGAGGAGCTCAAGGGGAAAAGAAGGGACAGGCCAAAAAGGTACGTAACTGCACTGTAACTAATGCTCGCGACCTTTTTAATTTTAGGCAAACAACGAGGACAAATAAGGCTCTCGAGTCTAAATCCGGATAAATTCACAAACAGGGAAGTAAATATCAATATATATAATCAAGGTACACGTGTATTCAAATTTTCCTAAATTTCAGCCACTGTTGGGCCGGGCCTGGAGGCGATGATAGCCCGGGCTGATGACTTCCAGCCGGAGGCCAGCAGCGATACAGGTCTCCAGGAAAGAAAACTGGCGCTCTCCGGTGAGTTATGCAAGGGCAGTCTGAGGTTCGGCCGCCCGACAAAATGGCGGTACCTCTCAACGCCGCGATGCGACGGCTGGAAGTCCCCGAGATGAGGTGGACGCGGTACACCGGAACGGACTCACCGGGAAATGTTTGATGTCGTCGGCGTCGACTGCGAAGACTGCTTTTCTGGGTGGTCGTCGGTACGGGTCGAACGGCCACCGGTTGCTGGGCAGCCAAGTCGGGCTGGTAGGTATGGCGAAGTCGCGCAAATGTCAGTAGAACTCCAAATAAATATTCCGGGGCCCTTTGTGTTGGGACCCCGGCTGCCTTTATAAATGATAAATATTAAATACCGAACTACTGTATAACTTTAACATAACTCACTATTTAATTTTAAGCACAAAGAAAATTTATAGGATCACTTCTAGCTGCATCTGCCTTGGTTGTTGGACAGTATGGCCGCGACTATCTCGATATCTGCTGATCATCGTTCATACCCCCCGCCATATTACATGGCCTCTCTCAAAATTGGGTCATTGGATACATGGGTCCATTTAAAGTAATCCCAAAGCGAACCGGGATTAATCTTCAAATGGCCAGATCGCCCGCCAGACTCATCCCGCTGCTGCAGCTATCGCCCTATCGACGTAACCTATCGATAACGTCGCTCCCATTCGACTCCAACTGCAACATTAACCAAAGATTTCGAGAGTCGCTGCCTGGAGTTTCAGCAGAACGATGAAAATAAATGGTAGCTTTGGAGATACGATGGGACTCAACACGGCACTGATACCATCCTGCAGTTCGATCGGCGCCTAACGCGGGGCCCACGCATGACGGGAAGTATTGCAGATGTGATCGCGATGCTCGTATACTTTAATTTCTCCTTTCAGGTCACAACCAGACTGCGGCCTTGGAGGTCCAAGTATGCATTGCTACCGACGGATTTAACCACCCTGGCTTTAATGAACTTGCGAGCAGACTTGGCGTTAAAAGATTTGTTGAAAGCACTCAGCACAAAGTTGCGGCGGAAGACTTCTTGGCCTGGCTTGGCGAGCAGCGTACGGGCTCGCTTATCGTAGCGTTGCCGGCTTGTCTGGTATGCACCCTCCAGTTGCTTCTGCACCTTGGCGTGGATAACCCGAAGCTTGTCCTTGGTCTACATTCCGGCCATTTCATGGTCGACCAGAGACCTGAGTCGTCTGGCTAGTTTGTAGCTGGAACCGTTGAGGAACATGTGATGGCCGAATACGGTGAAGAACGGCGCATCTCCTGTGGCTGAGTGGAAAGTGTTTTGGATGATCTTCGTCCAAGAAGCTGCGAATTGCGGCCAAGACGTTCCGGTTTACCCTTTCCGCGGCATTGCTCTGTGGTGAGTATACGGGAGTCCTCATGTGCTGTATACCGAAGCCATCGATCATCTCCTCAAACGCCTTGGATACGAACTGTTTGCCGTTGTCAGAATGTATCGTCTCAGGCACCCCGAACTTTAAAATACCTCGTTTACCAGGAAATTTACAACGTTTGACGCCGTCGCCTCCTTCATCGCCTTTAAGAAGGTGTACTTGGAGAAGTGGTCCACCACGATGAATATCCAGGCGTGTCGGATACTTGCCCAGGAAATCGATGTACAGTTTCTGGAATGGCCTCCCCGTCTCTACCCTTCTTCCGATTCCGACCTGCATCCGGAAGTTTGGCGCTTTGGATTCCTTGCACACCTCGCGACCCCGGACGTATTCCCGTACCTGGATAGTCATCCCTGGCCAATAGAACTGGGGACGCAGATTCCGTTGGATCTATCCGGACTTCCTCGATGATGCGGGATAGAGTGTCAGCGACTACGTTCTCGCTGCCTTTGCGATGTTCAATGTTGAAATCGTAGCCCTGCAGCTGGAGAGACCACCTTGCGAGTCGTCTGGACAGATCCTTCATTGTCATCAACCACTTAAGGCTGGCGTGATCAGTAATGCATGTGAAGGGCATCCCTTCCACATACGGTCTGAACTTCCAAATGGCTAGGATGGCCGCCAGACACTCCTTTTCCGTAACCGAGTAATTCACCTGGTGTTTGTTCATCTTGGCCATCTTGGCGCTTGAGTCGCAGCTCACTAGCCGTATGCTATCTGAGCCCGATTCTCCTAAGCGTAAAAAGATCGCGGTCGATAGACAACCCACGGTAGCCGCTAGTGTAACTCTCTCTGGCGATCCGGGGTCTGCAGCACAGCAGTCGATCTCAGCCGCCGCACAAATGGTACTGAGATCGAAAGCTAAAAAAGATTCGGTTTCCGAATGCAAAGGACGCGAGATTTTGCCGCATGAGACGCCCGAAAAATCTGCTATAAGCAATACTTTAATAATTCCAACGCCGCATGTTGACTTAACGTCCGGAGTACCGAATGAAACTGGTAGTGCAGCCGTAAATGCCGTAGTACCTAAACCTGTCACATGCGTGGTACCTAAAACAGTCACCTGTGTACCGCAGCGGAAACAAATTTTTGTTTCTCGGCTAAATCCTGACCTTTCATCGCTGGACATTACGGCCTATATCCGTAACAAAGTTCAGATTGATGATTTAAAGGTTGAACGATTTAATTTTCCATATGCTAGGGAAGTATCATCTTTTAAGATCGGTGTTCCCTGTGCTCATTTTGCAACTATGTGCTCAGCCAATTTTTGGCCTGTTGGCATTTTTGTTAAGGAGTACGAAGCTAAAAAAAAGAAAACTCGTTCAAAAGAAGTTGGAAATCCCTTTAAAGAGCCATCCACATCTACATCCTCATCTATCTCAAAAAACTAGATTCTTTTCTTCAGCTTTATTATCAGAATACAAGAGGTTTACAAAGTAAGTTGACCAAATTGTATACTGATAGTTTTTCCTTGTCTTCCCATGTTATTGTTTTTACTGAAACCTGGTTAAAACCGGAAGTTCTAAGTTCCGAAGTTTTTCCAAGTAAGTACACAACTTACAGGCTTGATCGTCCGTCCCGACGTGGAGGTGGAGTTTTAATTGCAGTTGACTCAGAATTAACGTCTGAAGTAATAACGTCCGACGAAATAAATGACATTGAATTTCTGTGTATAAAACTATCCCTTCCGGGTATTTCTATATACATAACATGTTCATATATTCCGCCATCATCGGAATTCCCGACATATGCGAATCATCTGTCCGCTATCCAGTTTATTTCAAGTAAACTATCAGATAGGGATCAGTTAATAGTTTTAGGTGACTTTAATATACCTAGGGCGACATGGTCCACCGTCGAAACCTCAAATATATTGTTACCTTCAACGCAGCATGATTTTCTTGACGGTTTGCTTGATATTTCATTGTCTCAAGTAAATCATGTATACAATTTCTTAGGACGATTACTGGATCTATGCTTTGTTTCCAGTCCAGATTGTGTCTGCATAGCTAGAACCTCTGCAATTACTTTACCAGAAGACCCTTATCACCCAACGCTAGAGCTGACTATTGACACGGGTACAAAAGTGTATGAAGTATCTGAAAAAATAGCTAAACGCATTCCCTGCTTTCGTAAAGCGAACTTTGCACTCATTAATAGCCTTATAGCTTGCTCGGATTGGTCCAATCTGTACTTAAGTACTAATATAATTGAAGCGGTTAATATATTTTATAACATATTAAATGAAGTTTTTGATACATGCGTTCCTACGTATTATCCTAAAATTTCAAACCAACCTCCGTGGTTTAACAAAGAGCTGGCACGACTTAAAAATGTAAAGTCTAGACTCTACAAAAAGTTTAGAGCTGCAGGTTCACAAGCTGCCTTTTCCCGATACTTAAGTGCTCGGTCCGATTTCACCGTGCTTAACGCTCAGTGTTATAAAAACTATTTAGCTCGTTGCAAGACCCAGTTTACACTGGATCCAAAACAGTTTTATAATTTTGTTAATACAAAGCGTAAATCTTCTAGTTACCCATCATCACTTAAATTTGAAAATTCGGCTGCTAGCACTGATCAAGCCATAGCCGATCTTTTTGCACAGTTTTTTCAAACCACCTATTCAACATCAAGTCCTCCAGATCAGTCTTACCCATATGTCATTCCCAAATCAAACTTTATTTGTTGTCCTGTTATAAGTAAAAGCTCACTTCTTTTAGAATTGCAAAGGGTCAAACCAGTCTACTCTCCGGGTCCTGACGGAGTCCCTGGATGTGTGCTTAGGTATTGCGCTGAGACTTTGTGTAGACCATTGCACAAACTGTTTACTTTGTCTTTAGAAACATCCGATTTCCCACACAGATGGAAGGAATCGTTTGTTATCCCGCTTCATAAAAAAGGGAGTAAATTGAACGCATGTAATTACAGAGGTATTTCAAAGCTATCAGCTATACCGAAGCTCTTTGAGAACATTATTACGCCTCATTTACAACACAGTTGTAGGTCCCTTATTTCCTCTTGTCAACACGGATTTATAAAACGTAGGTCAACGACAACCAACCTTTTGGAGTTTACTTCATTTGTTATAGGAGGTTTTAGAAAGAATCGTCAGACTGATGTGGTCTACACTGATTTTAGTAAGGCGTTTGATTCTGTAAGTCACCCGATTTTAGTCCGGAAATTGGACCTTTTAGGGTTTTCAGGTGATCTTCTTAGGTGGATTTTAAGTTATTTGAATGATAGGACTCAAAGGGTCATTTTTAAAAACTCTTTGTCATCCCTAATCCGAGTTACTTCCGGTGTACCACAAGGAAGTCATCTTGGTCCGCTCCTGTTTACATTATTTATAAATGACCTTCCATTAGTCTTAACGAAGTCACGGGTTCTTATGTACGCAGATGATGTTAAGTTGTGCCTGCAATATAATGACCCCGCACAAAGTTTAGCTTTACAATCGGATCTAAATGCATTTCAAACATGGTGCATGGATAATGAATTGAATTTAAATGGTTCTAAGTGTAAACTAATGACCTTTTTTCGTGTCAGCCCCCACTACTCAACGTATACTTTGAGTGGTTGTGCGTTAGATAGGATAACGCATGCTGACGACCTTGGAGTCCACATGGATCCTAGACTTAAATTTTCCGATCACATTACTACTATGGTAAATAAAGCCAGGGGCGTGCTTGCATTTATCAAAAGGTGGTCGAAGGAATTCGATGATCCCTATGTCACAAAGACCTTGTTCATTTCATTAGTCCGACCAATTCTTGAGTACTGCGCTCCTGTTTGGAGTCCCCAATATGGGGTGCATATAGACCGGATTGAGTCTGTGCAAAAAAACTTCTTAATATTTGCCTTACGGAGACTTAACTGGGATACAAGCCTAATACTACCATCCTACTCTAGTAGACTGCTTCTAATTAACTTACCATCGTTAGCTAACCGTAGAACTATGCTTGGTATTACGTTTATTAGAAATCTTATTCATGGTGAAGTAGAGAGTCCCGAGTTACTGGGTCGCCTGCATTTTAATGTGCCAAATAGATTCACTAGAAACTATATTCCTTTAGTATTAAATCACTGTATCTCTAATTACGCAATGCATGAACCTTTTAGAGTACTTTGCAATGATTATAATAGACTATATCATCTAATATCTACTACTGACTCACTTCCTATCTTTAAATCAATAATACTATCCTCCCTAGTAACTAATTAGTTTTACTTGATGTATTTTGTCTATTCGTATTGACCTGTATTTTTAATTGTCTATTGTTACATTGTCTTTTTCTTTGTCCGCGATTATGTTTACTCGCCCAAAACGGTGATGGGCTCCGCGCGTAACAAGCTTTGCTTGGTGTCGTAGGGCCACTTGTTTGTACTGACCATAGTGCATCAACGTCCAAGATAGAACGCGATGGGCTGCTCGTCTCCGTTCTGGTTCCGCTGAAACAATACCGCGCCGACGCCAACGTGGGATGCGTCGCACTGGATGTAGAAATGCTTCTTGAAATCCGCATGAACCAGGACCGGCGCGCTCGTCAAGGCCAACTTCAGGTCATCCACTGCCTGGGTGGCGCTGGGACTTAAGGAAAACTTTGTGTTTCCAGCCTTCTTCAAGGACTCGGAGAGTGCTGCGGCTAGCGTAGCGAAGTTCTTGACGAACCGTCGATACCATCCCGCTGTGCCGAGGAAGGCACGGGTAAGGCATCTTCTGGATTGCCGAAACACGTCCAGGATCCATCCGCAGCAGTCCACCTCCGACTATAAACCCTAGCTAAGTCAAAGATTTGAAACAAAACTTCGACTTCTTTAACCCTATAGTCAATCCGGCTGATTTCAGACTGTGGGCTACTCGACGCAAGTATTTCAAGTGCGTCTGAAAATCTGGAGCGTTAGATCTGAGCTCCGCTGGTATCACCCGATCCATGAGCCGCACCAAGCGATGTGCCGCGTTGCACAGCCCGAATGGCCGTGAACGCAGTATACTCCTTGCTTCTCTCATCCAGTTCAATCTGCCAAAACGCAAGCTTCAGGTCTACGCTGGAGATGTAGTGCGTCTGATCTATCCTGGAGAGGATTCCTTCTATACTGGGCAGAGGGTACGCACGGGCTTTTGCTCTCCTCGATAACACCCAGCTCCAACATCTTGTCGATTTCGTCTTCGACCACCTTCTGCTTCACCGGAGACATCGAATACGGACGATCCTTAAAGACACGAGCTCCTTCCGTCAGCTCAATAGAATGCCTCTTCATGCTGGTGACTCCGAGGCCGTCCCTTTAAAAGGTAAGGAACTCCTCCTTGACCTTGCCTAACGCCAGCTTTTCCTCCGCAGAAAGGGTCCAGGATTCGGGTTCCTCCCTTACCTCGTCTTCATCTTCCTGGTCGGCATAGTGCTCCATCTGGCTGGCATGGATTACCTGCGCTGCCTTGACGCCTCTCGTTGCCGGCTTCCCCACGTCGGCTGGAGCTAGTCCGAAGGTCGCCAGAAGTCGACCCCGAAGTACGCAGTTTGGTCCAGGTATGGACACAGGTAGAACGTGACTGGCTTTGTACCTCCCAGGCAGCTCCAAGCGTCCGATGATGGATCGATCCTCACCAGAAGCTGTCCGGACTACCGAAAAATACGGTTGGACGGTATCTTCTAGCGTTTCCACGAGCTCCCGACAGCCTTTGGCGAAGGGTCTAGGATCGGCGGAATCTATGTGTTTAACGGCCGCCACCACCTCTCGTCGTCTGGATCTCCTCATCCTGAAGCACTCCCTTGCCTTCTGGACTCTCCGTGAGACCAGACGCATGCCGCTCAGCTGATGCTCCGCAAAGATCCGGTTCCGTGCCTCCATATAACGGCGAAGCCTCTCATCCTCCGCCAGGTATCTTAACAAATACTTTTGACTATCAGATGGACTATGTACATTCTTTTCTTCTTCTTTCTTCGGAACTACTTCGCGGGATTCCAACCTGGGCGAGTCCCTCCCGCTTTTGGACTACCCAGCCGACCGTTTTCCGCGCAATCGGGACATTTCGGAGAAATCACGCCCAGCTTGCCGCATCGTTGGCCATCGTCCTCGCCGCCGAAGGAGAGGTTCCAGCGGTCCACTCGGATCTAGCGGTTTCCGTTGCCGGCTCCCGCGTTGGCGTACAACCGCGGCTCGTCACGAAAATCCGCCGCCCTTCGGTCCTCGATGCGCCACGGCCGTGCGTGGCGATCACTCCTTCCTGCCGGATGATACTCCGGTTCCTGGCTCAGGCTGCTGTCGATCCCTGGAGAGTCGTTCACCTGCGGTCGAGGTCGCTGCCTGGGATTCAATTCCGGCGGCCTTCGGTAGCCTCCTCCTGTCTCCTGCCGCTGCTGGACCATTTGCGGCGCCTTCCGGGCACGACGGAGTGGGCACCATTGACACTTGGCGAATCGCGCCCTCCTGGAGCGGCTGCGGTTTGCTTTCGGCTGTCCTAAGAACATCGTTCTTCAATTTCATCATGTCCATGAATCCGTTCTTGATTTTCTCCCGCAAGGCCTGGCTCACTCCCAACTCTTGCGATGCCCGATATGTATGGGCCGCTTGTGCCAGAGCTGCGTTCATCGCAGACTCCGCCGCTGTATCCGTGTTCCGTGTTCATCTTTTGTAGTCCCGTCTGCTCCGGAACCAGAAGTCGATCCTGCGCCTCGACAATTGCCTTGAAATCCAGGACCCTGGGCGACCGATGGTGCTCCAGATCCGCCGGTTGATCCCTAATCCGATCCACCGCACTACCGGCTACCGGCGTTCTGGGTAAACCCCCAGACAGCGATATCCGCGGCAACCCAGCAGCACCCTCTACATCCGTGGACCAGACATCGTCCTTGTCGTCGCCAGGGGGACCCATCGACCTGAGCTGGTGGCCGTGCCTATCGCTGACGTCCTTACCCTCGGACATACTTCCCAAGAATTTTTAAATAAATACTTAATGACTACTAATACTATAATAAATATGATAAATAAATAAATAAATAAGACAACAAATAAATACAAAAATAAATAATATAATATATATCAAAATAAATACGAAAATAACTAATAGCAAAAATCAATAACAATGAACAAATCTTCCTCCCTTCCTATTTTCTTTTCTTTTCCTTACAGCTGGACCTGGGCAGATGGAAGTGACCGTCGCCGGTGGGCTTTCGACCTAACTCGTCTTGCGCTTTCTCCAAAACTCCTATTTTCCGTCACCGCCTAGCCGTTCGTCAACTGGACTAGCTATCACCTGTGGTGATAGCCGCCAGTTAAGGACATCGGCTCGGTTTGGCTCCTGTTGGCTTTTCTTTCCCGCCCTCTTTTTCTATTTTACATCGAGCCAACCGTGCAACGGGTCACGATTACGCAATTAAGTTTACAACCGACATAAAATTAGAAATCCAGGTCCCAACATCCTAACAAAAAAACATTTCAAATAAATAAATCACAAAATACAAGCTTACTACTCTATCACAGAAATTATCACAGATTTTCTTCAGTGCATCCCGTGATGCAAATCTTGATTTGCTCCAAGATGCCATCACTGGTTCACTGGTAAACCTGTGGCCAGGAGCAAATCGTCGGCAATGTCGCCGACCAGCCTCCCGTTCTACTTCCAACTTCCCTACACAGCTGACTTCCCCGTCACCACTCCCTAGCAATTGCAATCTATGTTGCAAGCCATAGGTCGTGATGGCGGCGGCGTCAGGGTCATAAATGGGCGAGACGTCGTCGCCTCGACAATTTATTTTGTTTAAATTGGGCGCCAATATGTTACGAACTGCTTTTTTTTGGTGGCAGTGCCGCTAGCTCAATCTTTTCTCAAGGCAGAGTACCCCTAATGCCACAGCTCGCAACATAAATATCGATAACTTCACGGTCTCACATTACTAATCGGTTATCACTAATGACAAAAAAAACGTAATCAAAGCAAAAATCTACAAATATTGACGGGAAAATGGATTACATTTGGTGGCTATCGGTGACCTAGCCAAGCGCTCCCACCCAACCATGGGTGCCCTCGAGGCGCTGCAGGGCACCACCCATTCTCTGTCGGCAGGAGCCCCCTCCTCGCGACTACGACGGTTCCATCTCCCCCACTGGGAAAGCTTACTCACACATTGTGGGTATTACAAAGGTTTAATAAATATCGTAAGTACAATTGTTTATATACATGCTCCTCTTAACAGATCTATCCTTCCTCAGCCTTTAAGACCTAAACCTGGCCGCCGTCTCGGATATTTACGCGGTCAAAGCAGAGGATTTGTTTTGGCTGGAAAAGCGTAAACTATGCTCTACCAGTCATGTATTGGTAGAGCTCGCATGGAAACGCGGCCCTCAAAGGAACATGCGCGATGCGCGTGTGTATGGTCACCTAATTCTGAGGAGCTCAAGGGGAAAAGAAGGGAGAGGGCAAAAAGGTACGTAACTGCACTGTAACTAATGCTCGCGACCTTTTTAATTTTAGGCAAACAACGAGGACAAATAAGGCTCTCGAGTCTAAATCCGGATAAATTCACAAACAGGGAAGTAAATATCAATATATATAATCAAGGTACACGTGTATTCAAATTTTCCTAAATTTCAGCCACTGTTGGGCCGGGCCTGGAGGCGATGATAGCCCGGGCTGATGACTTCCAGCCGGAGGCCAGCAGCGATACAGGTCTCCAGGAAAGAAAACTGGCGCTCTCCGGTGAGTTATGCAAGGGCAGTCTGAGGTTCGGCCGCCCGACAAAATGGCGGTACGTCTCAACGCCGCGATGCGACGGCTGGAAGTCCCCGAGATGAGCTGGACGCGGTACACCGGAACGGACTCACCGGGAAATGTTTGATGTCGTCGGCGTCGACTGCGAAGACTGCTTTTCTGGGTGGTCGTCGGTACGGGTCGAACGGCCACCGGTTGCTGGGCAGCCAAGTCGGGCTGGTAGGTATGGCGAAGTCGCGCAAATGTCAGTAGAACTCCAAATAAATATTCCGGGGCCCTTTGTGTTGGGACCCCGGCTGCCTTTATAAATGATAAATATTAAATACCGAACTACTGTATAACTTTAACATAACTCACTATTTAATTTTAAGCACAAAGAAAATTTATAGGATCACTTCTAGCTGCATCTGCCTTGGTTGTTGGACAGTATGGCCGCGACTATCTCGATATCTGCTGATCATCGTTCATACCCCCCGCCATATTACATGGCCTCTCTCAAAATTGGGTCATTGGATACATGGGTCCATTTAAAGTAATCCTAAAGCGAACCGGGATTAATCTTCAAATGGCCAGATCGCCCGCCAGACTCATCCCGCTGCTGCAGCTATCGCCCTATCGACGTAACCTATCGATAACGTCGCTCCCATTCGACTCCAACTGCAACATTAACCAAAGATTTCGAGAGTCGCTGCCTGGAGTTTCAGCAGAACGATGAAAATAAATGGTAGCTTTGGAGATACGATGGGACTCAACACGGCACTGATACCATCCTGCAGTTCGATCGGCGCCTAACGCGGGGCCCACGCATGACGGGAAGTATTGCAGATGTGATCGCGATGCTCGTATACTTTAATTTCTCCTTTCAGGTCACAACCAGACTGCGGCCTTGGAGGTCCAAGTATGCATTGCTACGACGGATTTAACCACCCTGGCTTTAATGAACTTGCGAGCAGACTTGGCGTTAAAAGATTTGTTGAAATCACTCAGCACAAAGTTGCGGCGGAAGACTTCTTGGCCTGGCTTGGCGAGCAGCGTACGGGCTCGCTTATCGTAGCGTTGCCGGCTTGTCTGGTATGCACCCTCCAGTTGCTTCTGCACCTTGGCGTGGATAACCCGAAGCTTGTCCTTGGTCTGCATTCCGGCCATTTCATGATCGACCAGAGACCTGAGTCGTCTGGCTAGTTTGTAGCTGGAACCGTTGAGGAACATGTGATGGCCGAATACGGTGAAGAACGGCGCATCTCCTGTGGCTGAGTGGAAAGTGTTTTGGATGATCTTCGTCCAAGAAGCTGCGAATTGCGGCCAAGACGTTCCGGTTTACCCTTTCCGCGGCATTGCTCTGTGGTGAGTATACGGGAGTCCTCATGTGCTGTATACCGAAGCCATCGATCATCTCCTCAAACGCCTTGGATACGAACTGTTTGCCGTTGTCAGAATGTATCGTCTCAGGCACCCCGAACTTGTAAAATACCTCGTTTACCAGGAAATTTACAACGTTCGACGCCGTCGCCTCCTTCATCGCCTTTAAGAAGGTGTACTTGGAGAAGTGGTCCACCACGATGAATATCCAGGCGTGTCGGATACTTGCCCAGGAAATCGATGTACAGTTTCTGGAATGGCCTCCCCGTCTCTACCCTTCTTCCGATTCCGACCTGCATCCGGAAGTTTGGCGCTTTGGATTCCTTGCACACCTCGCGACCCCGGACGTATTCCCGTACCTGGATAGTCATCCCTGGCCAATAGAACTGGGGACGCAGATTCCGTTGGATCTATCCGGACTTCCTCGATGATGCGGGATAGAGTGTCAGCGACTACGTTCTCGCTGCCTTTGCGATGTTCAATGTTGAAATCGTAGCCCTGCAGCTGGAGAGACCACCTTGCGAGTCGTCTGGACAGATCCTTCATTGTCATCAACCACTTAAGGCTGGCGTGATCAGTAATGCATGTGAAGGGCATCCCTTCCACATACGGTCTGAACTTCCAAATGGCTAGGATGGCCGCCAGACACTCCTTTTCCGTAACCGAGTAATTCCCTGGTGTTTGTTCATCTTGGCCGAGAAGAACGCGATGGGCTGCTCGTCTCCGTTCTGGTTCCGCTGAAACAATACCGCGCCGACGCCAACGTGGGATGCGTCGCACTGGATGTAGAAATGCTTCTTGAAATCCGCATGAACCAGGACCGGCGCGCTCGTCAAGGCCAACTTCAGGTCATCCACTGCCTGGGTGGCGCTGGGACTTAAGGAAAACTTTGTGTTTCCAGCCTTCTTCAAGGACTCGGAGAGTGCTGCGGCTAGCGTAGCGAAGTTCTTGACGAACCGTCGATACCATCCCGCTGTGCCGAGGAAGGCACGGGTAAGGCATCTTCTGGATTGCCGAAACACGTCCAGGATCCATCCGCAGCAGTCCACCTCCGACTATAAACCCTAGCTAAGTCAAAGATTTGAAACAAAACTTCGACTTCTTTAACCCTATGGTCAATCCGGCTGATTTCAGACTGTGGGCTACTCGACGCAAGTATTTCAAGTGCGTCTGAAAATCTGGAGCGTTAGATCTGAGCTCCGCTGGTATCACCCGATCCATGAGCCGCACCAAGCGTTGTGCCGCGTTGCACAGCCCGAATGGCCGTGAACGCAGTATACTCCTTGCTTCTCTCATCCAGTTCAATCTGCCAAAACGCAAGCTTCAGGTCTACGCTGGAGATGTAGTGCGTCTGATCTATCCTGGAGAGGATTCCTTCTATACTGGGCAGAGGGTACGCATCCTTAATAGTCGAGGCGTTCAACTTCGGGCATCCACGCAGAACCGGTCTTTCCCTGGCTTCGACACCTCTGTTGTGCGATTGCTCCACGGGCTTTTGCTCTCCTCGATAACACCCAGCTCCAACATCTTGTCGATTTCGTCTTCGACCACCTTCTGCTTCACCGGAGACATCGAATACGGACGATCCTTAAAGACACGAGCTCCTTCCGTCAGCTCAATAGAATGCCTCTTCATGCTGGTGACTCCGAGGCCGTCCCTTTAAAAGGTAAGGAACTCCTCCTTGACCTTGCCTAACGCCAGCTTTTCCTCCGCAGAAAGGGTCCAGGATTCGGGTTCCTCCCTTACCTCGTCTTCATCTTCCTGGTCGGCATAGTGCTCCATCTGGCTGGCATGGATTACCTGCGCTGCCTTGACGCCTCTCGTTGCCGGCTTCCCCACGTCGGCTGGAGCTAGTCCGAAGGTCGCCAGAAGTCGACCCCGAAGTACGCAGTTTGGTCCAGGTATGGACACAGGTAGAACGTGACTGGCTTTGTACCTCCCAGGCAGCTCCAAGCGTCCGATGATGGATCGATCCTCACCAGAAGCTGTCCGGACTACCGAAAAATACGGTTGGACGGTATCTTCTAGCGTTTCCACGAGCTCTCGACAGCCTTTGGCGAAGGGTCTAGGATCGGCGGAATCTATGTGTTTAACGGCCGCCACCACCTCTCGTCGTCTGGATCTCCTCATCCTGAAGCACTCCCTTGCCTTCTGGACTCTCCGTGAGACCAGACGCATGCCGCTCAGCTGATGCTCCGCAAAGATCCGGTTCCGTGCCTCCATATAACGGCGAAGCCTCTCATCCTCCGCCAGGTATCTTAACAAATACTTTTGACTATCAGATGGACTATGTACATTCTTTTCTTCTTCTTTCTTCGGAACTACTTCGCGGGATTCCAACCTGGGCGAGTCCCTCCCGCTTTTGGACTACCCAGCCGACCGTTTTCCGCGCAATCGGGACATTTCGGAGAAATCACGCCCAGCTTGCCGCATCGTTGGCCATCGTCCTCGCCGCCGAAGGAGAGGTTCCAGCGGTCCACTCGGATCTAGCGGTTTCCGTTGCCGGCTCCCGCGTTGGCGTACAACCGCGGCTCGTCACGAAAATCCGCCGCCCTTCGGTCCTCGATGCGCCACGGCCGTGCGTGGCGATCACTCCTTCCTGCCGGATGATACTCCGGTTCCTGGCTCAGGCTGCTGTCGATCCCTGGAGAGTCGTTCACCTGCGGTCGAGGTCGCTGCCTGGGTTTCAATTCCGGCGGCCTTCGGTAGCCTCCTCCTGTCTCCTGCCGCTGCTGAACTTCCGCTGGACCATTTGCGCCGCCTTCCGGGCACGACGGAGTGGGCACCATTGACACTTGGCGAATCGCGCCCTCCTGGAGCGGCTGCGGTTTGCTTTCGGCTGTCCTAAGAACATCGTTCTTCAATTTCATCATGTCCATGAATCCGTTCTTGATTTTCTCCCGCAAGGCCTGGCTCACTCCCAACTCTTGCGATGCCCGATATGTATGGGCCGCTTGTGCCAGAGCTGCGTTCATCGCAGACTCCGCCGCTGTATCCGTGTTCCGTGTTCAGCTTTTGTAGTCCCGTCTGCTCCGGAACCAGAAGTCGATCCTGCGCCTCGACAATTGCCTTGAAATCCAGGACCCTGGGCGACCGATGGTGCTCCAGATCCGCCGGTTGATCCCTAATCCGATCCACCGCACTACCGGCTACCGGCGTTCTGGGTAAACCCCCAGACAGCGATATCCGCGGCAACCCAGCAGCACCCTCTACATCCGTGGACCAGACATCGTCCTTGTCGTCGCCAGGGGGACCCATCGACCTGAGCTGGTGGCCGTGCCTATCGCTGACGTCCTTACCCTCGGACATACTTCCCAAGAATTTTTAAATAAATACTTAATGACTACTAATACTATAATAAATATGATAAATAAATAAATAAATAAGACAACAAATAAATACAAAAATAAATAATATAATAAATATCAAAATAAATACGAAAATAACTAATAGCAAAAATCAATAACAATGAACAAATCTTCCTCCCTTCCTATTTTCTTTTCTTTTCCTTACAGCTGGACCTGGGCAGATGGAAGTGACCGTCGCCGGTGGGCTTCCGACCTAACTCGTCTTGCGCTTTCTCCAAAACTCCTATTTTCCGTCACCGCCTAGCCGTTCGTCAACTGGACTAGCTATCACCTGTGGTGATAGCCGCCAGTTAAGGACATCGGCTCGGTTTGGCTCCTGTTGGCTTTTCTTTCCCGCCCTCTTTTTCTATTTTACATCGAGCCAACCGTGCAACGGGTCACGATTACGCAATTAAGTTTACAACCGACATAAAATTAGAAATCCAGGACCCAACATCCTAACAAAAAAACATTTCAAATAAATAAATCACAAAATACAAGCTTACTACTCTATCACAGAAATTATCACAGATTTTCTTCAGTGCATCCCGTGATGCAAATCTTGGTTTGCTCCAAGATGCCATCACCGGTTCACTGGTAAACCTGTGGCCAGGAGCAAATCGTCGGCAATGTCGCCGACCAGCCTCCCGTTCTACTTCCAACTTCCCTACACAGCTGACTTCCCCGTCACCACTCCCTAGCAATTGCAATCTATGTTGCAAGCCATAGGTCGTGATGGCGGCGGCGTCAGGGTCATAAATGGGCGAGACGTCGTCGCCTCGACAATTTATTTTGTTTAAATTGGGCGCCAATATGTTACGAACTGCTTTTTTTTGGTGGCAGTGCCGCTAGCTCAGTCTTTTCTCAAGGCAGAGTACCCCTAATGCCACAGCTCGCAACATAAATATCGATAACTTCACGGTCTCACATTACTAATCGGTTATCACTAATGACAAAAAAAACGTAATCAAAGCAAAAATCTACAAATATTGACGGGAAAATGGATTACATTTGGTGGCTATCGGTGACCTAGCCAAGCGCTCCCACCCAACCATGGGTGCCCTCGAGGCGCTGCAGGGCACCACCCATTCTCTGTCGGCAGGAGCCCCCTCCTCGCGACTACGACGGTTCCATCTCCCCCACTGGGAAAGCTTACTCACACATTGTGGGTATTACAAAGGTTTAATAAATATCGTAAGTACAATTGTTTATATACATGCTCCTCTTAACAGATCTATCCTTCCTCAGCCTTTAAGACCTAAACCTGGCCGCCGTCTCGGATATTTACGCGGTCAAAGCAGAGGATTTGTTTTGGCTGGAAAGCGTACAGGCGCCGCGGAAACTATGCTCTACCAGTCATGTATTGGTAGAGCTCGCATGGAAACGCGGCCCTCAAAGGAACATGCGCGATGCGCGTGTGTATGGTCACCTAATTCTGAGGAGCTCAAGGGGAAAAGAAGGGACAGGCCAAAAAGGTACGTAACTGCACTGTAACTAATGCTCGCGACCTTTTTAATTTTAGGCAAACAACGAGGACAAATAAGGCTCTCGAGTCTAACTCCGGATAAATTCACAAACAGGGAAGTAAATATCAATATATATAATCAAGGTACACGTGTATTCAAATTTTCCTAAATTTCAGCCACTGTTGGGCCGGGCCTGGAGGCGATGATAGCCCGGGCTGATGACTTCCAGCCGGAGGCCAGCAGCGATACAGGTCTCCAGGAAAGAAAACTGGCGCTCTCCGGTGAGTTATGCAAGGGCAGTCTGAGGTTCGGCCGCCCGACAAAATGGCGGTACCTCTCAACGCCGCGATGCGACGGCTGGAAGTCCCCGAGATGAGGTGGACGCGGTACACCGGAACGGACTCACCGGGAAATGTTTGATGTCGTCGGCGTCGACTGCGAAGACTGCTTTTCTGGGTGGTCGTCGGTACGGGTCGAACGGCCACCGGTTGCTGGGCAGCCAAGTCGGGCTGGTAGGTATGGCGAAGTCGCGCAAATGTCAGTAGAACTCCAAATAAATATTCCGGGGCCCTTTGTGTTGGGACCCCGGCTGCCTTTATAAATGATAAATATTAAATACCGAACTACTGTATAACTTTAACATAACTCACTATTTAATTTTAAGCACAAAGAAAATTTATAGGATCACTTCTAGCTGCATCTGCCTTGGTTGTTGGACAGTATGGCCGCGACTATCTCGATATCTGCTGATCATCGTTCATACCCCCCGCCATATTACATGGCCTCTCTCAAAATTGGGTCATTGGATACATGGGTCCATTTAAAGTAATCCCAAAGCGAACCGGGATTAATCTTCAAATGGCCAGATCGCCCGCCAGACTCATCCCGCTGCTGCAGCTATCGCCCTATCGACGTAACCTATCGATAACGTCGCTCCCATTCGACTCCAACTGCAACATTAACCAAAGATTTCGAGAGTCGCTGCCTGGAGTTTCAGCAGAACGATGAAAATAAATGGTAGCTTTGGAGATACGATGGGACTCAACACGGCACTGATACCATCCTGCAGTTCGATCGGCGCCTAACGCGGGGCCCACGCATGACGGGAAGTATTGCAGATGTGATCGCGATGCTCGTATACTTTAATTTCTCCTTTCAGGTCACAACCAGACTGCGGCCTTGGAGGTCCAAGTATGCATTGCTACCGACGGATTTAACCACCCTGGCTTTAATGAACTTGCGAGCAGACTTGGCGTTAAAAGATTTGTTGAAATCACTCAGCACAAAGTTGCGGCGGAAGACTTCTTGGCCTGGCTTGGCGAGCAGCGTACGGGCTCGCTTATCGTAGCGTTGCCGGCTTGTCTGGTATGCACCCTCCAGTTGCTTCTGCACCTTGGCGTGGATAACCCGAAGCTTGTCCTTGGTCTGCATTCCGGCCATTTCATGGTCGACCAGAGACCTGAGTCGTCTGGCTAGTTTGTAGCTGGAACCGTTGAGGAACATGTGATGGCCGAATACGGTGAAGAACGGCGCATCTCCTGTGGCTGAGTGGAAAGTGTTTTGGATGATCTTCGTCCAAGAAGCTGCGAATTGCGGCCAAGACGTTCCGGTTTACCCTTTCCGCGGCATTGCTCTGTGGTGAGTATACGGGAGTCCTCATGTGCTGTATACCGAAGCCATCGATCATCTCCTCAAACGCCTTGGATACGAACTGTTTGCCGTTGTCAGAATGTATCGTCTCAGGCACCCCGAACTTGTAAAATACCTCGTTTACCAGGAAATTTACAACGCGGGAGAAGTGGTACACCACGATGAATATCCAGGCGTGTCGGATACTTGCCCAGGAAATCGATGTACAGTTTCTGGAATGGCCTCCCCGTCTCTACCCTTCTTCCGATTCCGACCTGCATCCGGAAGTTTGGCGCTTTGGATTCCTTGCACACCTCGCGACCCCGGACGTATTCCCGTACCTGGATAGTCATCCCTGGCCAATAGAACTGGGGACGCAGATTCCGTTGGATCTATCCGGACTTCCTCGATGATGCGGGATAGAGTGTCAGCGACTACGTTCTCGCTGCCTTTGCGATGTTCAATGTTGAAATCGTAGCCCTGCAGCTGGAGAGACCACCTTGCGAGTCGTCTGGACAGATCCTTCATTGTCATCAACCACTTAAGGCTGGCGTGATCAGTAATGCATGTGAAGGGCATCCCTTCCACATACGGTCTGAACTTCCAAATGGCTAGGATGGCCGCCAGACACTCCTTTTCCGTAACCGAGCAATTCACCTGGTGTTTGTTCATCTTGGCCGAGAAGAACGCGATGGGCTGCTCGTCTCCGTTCTGGTTCCGCTGAAACAATACCGCGCCGACGCCAACGTGGGATGCGTCGCACTGGATGTAGAAATGCTTCTTGAAATCCGCATGAACCAGGACCGGCGCGCTCGTCAAGGCCAACTTCAGGTCATCCACTGCCTGGGTGGCGCTGGGACTTAAGGAAAACTTTGTGTTTCCAGCCTTCTTCAAGGACTCGGAGAGTGCTGCGGCTAGCGTAGCGAAGTTCTTGACGAACCGTCGATACCATCCCGCTGTGCCGAGGAAGGCACGGGTAAGGCATCTTCTGGATTGCCGAAACACGTCCAGGATCCATCCGCAGCAGTCCACCTCCGACTATAAGCCCTAGCTAAGTCAAAGATTTGAAACAAAACTTCGACTTCTTTAACCCTATGGTCAATCCGGCTGATTTCAGACTGTGGGCTACTCGACGCAAGTATTTCAAGGGCGTCTGAAAATCTGGAGCGTTAGATCTGAGCTCCGCTGGTATCACCCGATCCATGAGCCGCACCAAGCGTTGTGCCGCGTTGCACAGCCCGAATGGCCGTGAACGCAGTATACTCCTTGCTTCTCTCATCCAGTTCAATCTGCCAAAACGCAAGCTTCAGGTCTACGCTGGAGATGTAGTGCGTCTGATCTATCCTGGAGAGGATTCCTTCTATACTGGGCAGAGGGTACGCATCCTTAATAGTCGAGGCGTTCAACTTCGGGCATCCACGCAGAACCGGTCTTTCCCTGGCTTCGACACCTCTGTTGTGCGATTGCTCCACGGGCTTTTGCTCTCCTCGATAACACCCAGCTCCAACATCTTGTCGATTTCGTCTTCGACCACCTTCTGCTTCACCGGAGACATCGAATACGGACGATCCTTGAAGACACGAGCTCCTTCCGTCAGCTCAATAGAATGCCTCTTCATGCTGGTGACTCCGAGGCCGTCCCTTTAAAAGGTAAGAACTCCTCCTTGACCTTGCCTAACGCCAGCTTTTCCTCCGCAGAAAGGGTCCAGGATTCGGGTTCCTCCCTTACCTCGTCTTCATCTTCCTGGTCGGCATAGTGCTCCATCTGGCTGGCATGGATTACCTGCGCTGCCTTGACGCCTCTCGTTGCCGGCTTCCCCACGTCGGCTGGAGCTAGTCCGAAGGTCGCCAGAAGTCGACCCCGAAGTACGCAGTTTGGTCCAGGTATGGACACAGGTAGAACGTGACTGGCTTTGTACCTCCCAGGCAGCTCCAAGCGTCCGATGATGGATCCATCCTCACCAGAAGCTGTCCGGACTACCGAAAAATACGGTTGGACGGTATCTTCTAGCGTTTCCACGAGCTCTCGACAGCCTTTGGCGAAGGGTCTAGGATCGGCGGAATCTATGTGTTTAACGGCCGCCACCACCTCTCGTCGTCTGGATCTCCTCATCCTGAAGCACGCCCTTGCCTTCTGGACTCTCCGTGAGACCAGACGCATGCCGCTCAGCTGATGCTCCGCAAAGATCCGGTTCCGTGCCTCCATATAACGGCGAAGCCTCTCATCCTCCGCCAGGTATCTTAACAAATACTTTTGACTATCAGATGGACTATGTACATTCTTTTCTTCTTCTTTCTTCGGAACTACTTCGCGGGATTCCAACCTGGGCGAGTCCCTCCCGCTTTTGGACTACCCAGCCGACCGTTTTCCGCGCAATCGGGACATTTCGGAGAAATCACGCCCAGCTTGCCGCATCGTTGGCCATCGTCCTCGCCGCCGAAGGAGAGGTTCCAGCGGTCCACTCGGATCTAGCGGTTTCCGTTGCCGGCTCCCGCGTTGGCGTACAACCGCGGCTCGTACGAAAATCCGCCGCCCTTCGGTCCTCGATGCGCCACGGCCGTGCGTGGCGATCACTCCTTCCTGCCGGATGATACTCCGGTTCCTGGCTCAGGCTGCTGTCGATCCCTGGAGAGTCGTTCACCTGCGGTCGAGGTCGCTGCCTGGGTTTCAATTCCGGCGGCCTTCGGCAGCCTCCTCCTGTCTCCTGCCGCTGCTGAACTTCCGCTGGACCATTTGCGCCGCCTTCCGGGCACCACCGGCGCCGACGGAGTGGGCACCATTGACACTTGGCGAATCGCGCCCTCCTGGAGCGGCTGCGGTTTGCTTTCGGCTGTCCTAAGAACATCGTTCTTCAATTTCATCATGTCCATGAATCCGTTCTTGATTTTCTCCCGCAAGGCCTGGCTCACTCCCAACTCTTGCGATGCCCGATATGTATGGGCCGCTTGTGCCAGAGCTGCGTTCATCGCAGACTCCGCCGCTGTATCCGTGTTCCGTGTTCAGCTTTTGTAGTCCCGTCTGCTCCGGAACCAGAAGTCGATCCTGCGCCTCGACAATTGCCTTGAAATCCAGGACCCTGGGCGACCGATGGTGCTCCAGATCCGCCGGTTGATCCCTAATCCGATCCACCGCACTACCGGCTACCGGCGTTCTGGGTAAACCCCCAGACAGCGATATCCGCGGCAACCCAGCAGCACCCTCTACATCCGTGGACCAGACATCGTCCTTGTCGTCGCCAGGGGGACCCATCGACCTGAGCTGGTGGCCGTGCCTATCGCTGACGTCCTTACCCTCGGACATACTTCCCAAGAATTTTTAAATAAATACTTAATGACTACTAATACTATGATAAATATGATAAATAAATAAATAAATAAGACAACAAATAAATACAAAAATAAATAATATAATAAATATCAAAATAAATACGAAAATAACTAATAGCAAAAATCAATAACAATGAACAAATCTTCCTCCCTTCCTATTTTCTTTTCTTTTCCTTACAGCTGGACCTGGGCAGATGGAAGTGACCGTCGCCGGTGGGCTTCCGACCTAACTCGTCTTGCGCTTTCTCCAAAACTCCTATTTTCCGTCACCGCCTAGCCGTTCGTCAACTGGACTAGCTATCACCTGTGGTGATAGCCGCCAGTTAAGGACATCGGCTCGGTTTGGCTCCTGTTGGCTTTTCTTTCCCGCCCTCTTTTTCTATTTTACATCGAGCCAACCGTGCAACGGGTCACGATTACGCAATTAAGTTTACAACCGACATAAAATTAGAAATCCAGGACCCAACATCCTAACAAAAAAACATTTCAAATAAATAAATCACAAAATACAAGCTTACTACTCTATCACAGAAATTATCACAGATTTTCTTCAGTGAACGGTGATGGCATCTTGGAGCAACCAAGATTTGCATCACGGATGATGCAAATCTTGGTTTGCTCCAAGATGCCATCACCGGTTCACTGGTAAACCTGTGGCCAGGAGCAA